GCACTTTTTCTGGTCATTGTAAGATAACATCCCACTGATATAAATCAGAGGGAAAAAGTTTTCAACCTTGAGGGATTGATCAATCTGTCCTTTGTTGAGGTATGCACGTCCTTTCAGGGCTAACAGAACCGGATCTTTTTCAGCCTCAGTAATCTAAAACAAAAAAAAGAAAAAAAGAATTAGAAGTGCAGATATGTATCATATATCTGCACAATTTCCCACAATAATTCTTCTCCAAACTTTCTTTATTATTTGTTGAACTATTCATAGAATATGCTATTCAAAAACAAATACACATAAAATGGAAAATGTTATTTTAGCATCTAACAAGAAAATACCATACAAATAAGCTCTAAAATATGAAAAGAACATTGCTAAAAGGATTAGTTAAGTAATCCCACACAGTCATCCACACAAAGAACTTGTATGGCAAACATTCCTAGATGACAGGACTATGAAGCATGTCACAACATTATAACATGTTACATATTTATCTAGAAATGTCTCTTTCCCCAGTGTGTTTCATATCAAAACTAAGTTTCAATATAAAACACATGTGATATGAATCATATGTAGAACATGAATCAGAAAACCTGTGAGAATGTCTCCAGAGCCTGACTGGCAGCCTGCTCTCCTTCACTTCTCACTAAAGCCTCCAGCTTCAGTCGAAGGAGTTTGTCTCTCAGCTCCTTATCTTCAGAAGTACAAATGTTTAACCCTAATAGAATGAAATAAACCAAATTACTGTATAATTTTAGCAGAGAAGAACCTTCTTTGAATTTCATCTGAAGTCTCACTCTGACTAGAACCAATAATAATACAATGAGATGTTTAGTCAGGCTAACTTAGCACCACCAACAACAAACATAAAACACACCTTGTGAGCATGAAGCAGCGCTGTCTGAGTGTCTGTGTATTTTAAACTGAGCCTCAGCCAGGCTGTGCCATCCCGTTGCTGAGCTTGTTTTCTTTATTCCTAATAAAAGAGAATAAATGGGTTAAGGACAATTACAAGCACTGTAAACAACAACAACTGCATAAATAGCAGAATGTGCTAATGTGAAAACTAACCTTTTTCCAGGTCATCAACGGCTTCTTTATACCTCCCCTCCAGAAGTGCCTTGGTACCGAGACCTAAGTGACCTAATCCACTGTTGGGGGCCATTTCCAGGAGTCGGGAAAAACAGCTGACTGCATCCTCATCCATGTTATCTTAAAAAACAAAAAACAAAAAAAAGTTCATCAGGTCAGCCACTTCATTTAACCTTTAAAAAAACCAATTAGAGAAGACATCTAAATTTCCTACATGTAAACTTAGGAAGTTTTAAATTTCCTAACTTGTAGCACAACATACAAGGATTTTGAATTTAAAATTTCAAATGTTAAATTCAAAATCCCTTTGTGCTCTGCTACAAGTGGAGATTTTATTGGTATGATGCTAAACAAGCAAGTGTAAGGACTGGAAAACATAAAGATGGTGGAGGAGACTGACACATTTGTTAAATGACAAAAATTAACAATAATAATACGTTTTTAGCCGTCTCTAAGCCCTAAAAAACAAACTAAAGTCATAAAAAAGCAACAATAACATCTCAAAGTGATCTGGACAGAGTCCTGACATGAGTCTAAGAATCTGTGAAGGGGTTTAAATATTAATGTTGCAGTGAAACATCTTCCAATCCTCAAAGACTTTAAGGGTATGAGAAAGGATACATTATCAAAACACATTAAAGATATGCCCATCTCACAAACACAATCCTTCTTTGAATTGAAATAAGTTTCTTCAAATTTGCTTGTCTCAGCTGTGACTCCCCCAAAAACAGTTTAATATTTGAGAGACCTCCTCCTTCTGCCTAATAATAGTTGTGACACAATGTTTGCTATAACAGAGGGACTGATATGCAGTCAACATTGCATCATTTCTATTACATAGTTATAACCAAGTTATAACATCGACTCTGCATTGTTTAATGAATTTAATGCCAATTTAAGTGATAAATAAACTTAATTTGATTTTGTTTTTAATGAATAATTGCACCGTTTCTAGAGGAAACACTTTGATTACCTGAAATAATTACTCCATGTGCCAATAAAAAGCATCTAATGAGCATGTGTAAGACAATAGTAGCTTACTTGTTTTGAGATAGTGGCTGCAAAGGACCTCTAGAGGATAGGTTTGGTTTGGGTACACAGACAACATGGACTGACAAGCCTCTTTCATTTTGCTTTCTTCGTGTGGCAGCTGCAGTAAAAGCAGATTTACAGTGGAATCCATAAAAACACTGCGAATATGTACGTTCTTTAAACGTCAAAAAGAGGCCGACACAAGAGAGGGTGCACTTACTTTCGAAAGACATTTAATATAATCAGCCGAGAGCTTCTTGTGCTCCTCTCCAGGCACGGGCTCAGTGAGAATCATGGCCTTCTCAAATGCCGTTATCAACTGATCATCATAAAATGAAACACAGCAGGCACATGTAAACAACTTAAAGTTTCTGTAAATTCCCAAGATTACATTTAATACATATTACAGTGTTTTGACAATTGCACACAGCTTAGCAAATGCCAACGTGTGAGGTAAGCTTACATGCTGTTGAGTCTCGTTGTCCTGCTCCTCGTCATTGATGCAGTCAGAGAGGAGATGGGTCATCTTTTGCAATAACTGCACTAACTCCTTCTTATCCACGCCCTCTTCCTCCTTCAGCTGGACGAGTTGGAGCCAAACCTTAGCCAGCTGTACAAAAGCGCATGAAAGATATGGTGTGAAAAATACATATTAGTCGGTTGTTTTAACCAAACCTGCATGCTACATATTTGAAATGCACACACCTTCAAATATTCCCTGTCAGACTGGTAAATATCTGACAGCTTTTTGATCATGTCGTAGCTTTTAGTTTTATCCGTCCTGTGATTAGAGAGAGCATAAGAGACAGAAAGAAGCCTTTATACAACAAAGAACATTTAAAATAACGTAGTTAAATAATACAGACCTCTGCAAAAATTTGTATGAATTTCCAAGAGCTTATTTCTCAGTGTTTCAGCACTCTTCTCTTTATGAGAGCCCTTTATAAGATGCCAATGATGCCTGGTTGGCTACTGATCATCAACAACCTGCAGTCAGCTGCTTGAAGCTTGTGGTTTTAGAACAGGGTCAGTGTAAGACACTTAATAAGTGGCACACCCTCAGTTTTTGTCATATTTCTGTGTTTTGTGACCAGAAATATGTCCAAACAACCAAATTAAAAATTTGTCCATGTGGGTAGGAACAATTCAGCAATAGGTATGGGAGGGGCTGTCTTTTCTACATCCTCTAAAAAAAAATACAAAGATGACTGTGGTCACTCCAGCACTACTTTTATAATAGCAGAAAGGGTTTAGTGAATTATTTTAAAAGTTTTAAAGCTGAATTAAACACATATTATATTATACACTTATATTACTTACTTTGCATAAAGCTCCACAAGCTTCTGGTAGACACTCGGCAGCTCATCTTTGAAATCCCACTGATCAGTATTTTCATAAAGATTTGCTAAACCCTGCAAATGCACACATGACTGAAATCTTTTAGGAGTAGCACAACGCGAGACACTCTGTGAAAACAATCAGTGTGAGGCTGCATGGTTTCAAGGGCTGGGCGTCCAAGTCCCAGGTGATAAACCTGAAGACAAAACTAACCTGCCAGGCCAGCAGCTGCTCGGGCTCCAGCTCCACCGCCTTCCTGTAGGCTGCTTGTGACTGATCGGGTTGTTCCAGTTCACTGGCTGCCTTGCCGATGAACACCCAGGCGTTGTAATTGTTCTTTTCAAGTTTCAGAACAGCCTGAAAGCACATTTGGGAGCGCAAAGTCAGCTTCAGCACCCATCTTCCTCCCAGTGGGTGGACTCCATTAGCTGTACCTCTCAGGGCGTTTGGGAACCAGAGCAATTTACCTTGCAGTGCTTCAGGACTTCTTTGAACTCTTTGTTGTTAATGGCCTCCCTGGCACTTTTCAAAGCGGCTTTCACTTCTTTATTGGACATCTTTAGGAGGCAGACATTCACACTGAACCCTGTAGGAATGCTACAAAGCAATTTCCAACTGTTAGCAACAAGCTACAAGCTGGATAGTTAACATGCCACCCTTTGAAATTAGACCAAATAACACCAAATTCAGGATAACTGTGTGCTGCCTTTTATTGGTGCCGTGAAAAAGCAAATAAATAGTCTATTTCAAAGGCCAATAAAGGGAGTTTTTGGGTTATTTAAGCTCTTAGGAGACAAGATTTTCTAGCCATGGTTAACAGCAGCCAAATAGAATTCATTTAAATAAACTATCTTAAGATGTACAACTGGCTTGGTTGAGCTGAAAATAGCTGTAAATTAAACAGTTATGGAAAAAAATCTTTGCATAAAAAGCTTACTGTTTACAGACGGCTGCAGGGCTCGCGCGGATGAGACGGAAGCGATACCTGCTGCGTGGCGGATTTTTCAAAATAAAACGACTTGTGATTTGACAACAACAACAAAAAAAACTGACCAAAGTGTTTTAAAGTTTGTGTAGAAGAAAAGGGGATGTATCAAGGGTGGAAGCAATAATCCAGGTTTAGTTAAAGATGGATTAAATTGAATCAAGTGACGTTATCCTGAACATATGGGCTGCTAGGCCCCACTTTAAGCTGAGTCACCACAGCAGCAACATTATAGCCCAATTCTATTGTTTGCATGTTCTGCATTTGTCATCCTTAAGTTTTATTTAGTCAAATGCCAACAAGTCAACTGACCATACCACACAATTTGGCTAGCTTGGCTTTAACCTTGTTTATTAAAAAGCAGTAAGTAAAGTGCTTTGCAGAACTATCCATACCTCCTGTTTTTTTTTTATTTTTTTATTATCTTACTGCTTTTAATTTTATAGCCACAAATGTCAGTGCATTTTATAGGTTATTTTAGACAACAATGAAATAGAAGAAAAAACAATTGCCTGACACCAATCTGGATGCCTATGTAGATCATAATTAGAAATAGAATAGAAAAAGCTTTTATTGACCTGCCCGACTGGTGCAAATGACACACAAAACAAAAAGTTAAAATAATTTTGCAGCTTAAAAACATTTGCCATCTCTTTAGTTATAAAACGTTCTTGAAGAGCCATGAAGCCATGTGTCGATGGCTTTTTCATTGGCCAGGATGTCCTTTTGCCAGTCCACGTGCCACCTGAGGTTAGCGACGACCTCAGGATAGTTTCTCCCCAAACTATCCCGCCACGCAGCAAACTTGTTTTTATTGTAGAGATGGACAGCCGAAGAGACTTTTGGATAATCTACAATGCTGCGCAACAGTTTGTCCAGTTGAGCCTGAACGTCTGGGAATCTGAGGACCACATTGTGCAGCTCGTCCTTGTCCACTGTGACATCTGCAAAAGAAAGGGTACAGAAGTGGCATTCAAAACCGGCCATCATTGTGATTTTCTCTAAAGGAATTGATGAGAGAAGTAAGCAAAATAGTTTGCATGGCTAAAAAACTCACTGAAAAGTTGCGGGGGAACACTGATTCCGTCTGCATAGGCAAGATATTTCCAATGTCCAACCCTAAGCATGTATGTAGAGGCATTGGCATTGCAGCCATGATATTCACTCAATACCCACTCTGGGTGTTTGTTCTTAGACACATTTCTGGATGTGGATATCAATGGCAGGACAGAGTGGCCACTTAAATTGCCCACAGCTGAGATACCAGCAATCTCTGAAAAAGCAAATAAAGAGTTCAAACTGAAAGTGTATGCCTGCTATTGCCTAAACTTAAAACAGTTTTTTCTCCTTCCCTACCAAGCACAGTGGGATAGAGATCAACCAAGGACACAAGCTGGTGGACCTGCAGCCCAGACTTTATCCCAGGGCCCATGATGAGCAGGGGGACACGAGAACTGCCTTCGAACATTGACATCTTATAGAACTGCCGGTGCTCCATAGCTAGCTCTCCATGGTCGGCTGTGAATATCAGAACAGTGTTGTCCAGCAGGCTTTTCTCCCTCAGTGCTGAAATCACCTGACCTGAAGAGACAAAAGGGGTGGAGAACATGTAATGGTGATCAGAATCTGACACCTGGAGCATGTTTTGCAATATCTATCATGTTGGTAAGACAATAAATTAAAATGTTCTTTTTAAAAAAATTAATATATTTCCCCTTTTGTAGGCCACAATGCCTCTGTTGCTGCTCCTGCACCTACAACACTATTTTCTTCCACTTAACTTTCAATAAACAAGGCTGGATAAAGACCTCTGGGAACAACCAGCTTTTAAAGAAATATTCTTTTGTGACTTCCTCTGATTGTGGAGGGTGTCAATGACTGTTTTTGGACATCTGCAAGTCCTACTGACCTTTGAAGATCATGTAGAGGCTCTTCTTAGACTTAGCCGATTAGTGTGTGAAACCAAAGGTTTCCACTATTTATCGTTTAAGTAAGTTAAGTACATTTAGACACTGATTTGTTGGTTTTAACTTTCTGCAGTGTTGACATACTTCACTGTTTGTGTAATGAATCAATGTAATATATGAGTTTCACAGTCTGAAATAACTGACAAAAAATAGAGATGTGCTTGATATGTACTTGTAAATGATTTCATGAATAAATATGAAAATACTTTTGTCTTCATTTCTGTTGGAATCACGTTTTCTTTTTTTATGTGCACTGAAGTCCTTACTAAGCCATAACGTGTCAATAATCTCAATCAAGTCTCTTCCAAACTCTTTCTCTCAACTAACCCAGCATGGCATCTGCTTCCGCACACATGGCATAGTAGAAGGTCCGAATGTTTTTGATTTCCTCCTCAGTGAAGTCGCCGCTGCAGTTTTTGGTGAAGGTGGAGTAGTAGTCAACAGGATGCATGGCAGCCATAGGCAACCATTTAGGAACAGAGACAAGCTCAGAAGACACCTGTGAACACGGCAAAAAAAAAAAAATTAGTGAAGGTGTAGAATATTAATGATAAATAAAGAATGACAATAAAAAAAAGAATGCCTTTGTGAGCCAGTATGGCGAGCTACGGAAAGTGGATCCTCCAGCTGTAGGACCCAGAGATTCAGTTCTATATGGATGAGGCAGATTGAGGCCGAGATAAAGAGCAAAGGGTTCTTTTGAAGTAGCAGCTGTTTGGCGGATCCACTGAGCAGCTTTATCTGTGTTCTTCCAGTCTTTTCCCATAATTCTTCTGGTTGACATGTTGCCAATAAGTTCGGCAACAGGTCGGCCTTCCTGGCGAAGAAGGAACCGGACATCTCGAGTCCACGCCTCGACGCGATTACTGCAGCACATGGAAAAAAATTAATAAATCAATAAAATCTATGGGTAACGACACTTTTATCTGACAATCAAGTCTGACGGAAAGGCCTATCATTGTCTCTTACCCACCTGACTGAGTGACTCCCTGAGGTGTAATCCAGCTTTCCCAGCATCTTTGTACGATATCCCTTCCTCTCCAGCAAGTCCATCCACGTGGTTGAGTTTGCATCCAAGCACTTGTAGTTGTTCCAAGACTGACTGAGGTGAACATACTGACCACTCCACATTGCTGTAGAAAAGGGTCAGGAAATTAATCGGACATCTCTTCGTTTGAATAGCATGAAATAAGAAGTGTTATGATTATTATTATTATTTACAACTAAATGTACCTGCTCTTGAAGGGCAGCAGATGGGCGAGTTTGTGTAAGTATTGAGGAAAGTAGAGCCCAGATCCTGGAGATAATTTATATATGGAAGCCGCACAACTTTGCTGCCTGGTTCAAACGATAGTCGACCATCCTGAAACAAACAAACAAACACACACACACATACACGCACACAAACACATAAGTACCAAGTTTGGATATGAAGTAAATCAATCAATCAATCAATAAGTACATAAATAAATAAATGATGGGGTGACGTAATCCAGCCTAAAATACAGACTGTCACTGTTCATAAAACATGAAACTTGTAATAAACAAGTCATACTTACAAATGCATCACTCATCACCATAACAATGTTTGGTCTGGTGACGTGCTGGGTGCTTTCACCACAGCTTTGGAGGAAGAGAATAAAAGCCAACAAAAACATCTTTATCCCTTCTGTTAAAATCCTATAAACCGATGCATTGTCTTAGGTGAAATAAAACATTTTCCAAAAAGTGAGTAAATAGGCGCAGAAGAAATAAAAACTTCTTCCATGTCGAGGTTGCCCTCCGATGAGATCCACATCCGGGTAAAGTTTTCAAAATAAGAGCTTTTATTCACGTTACGGCACTTGAATGTAACGGGCCTGGGGAATTAAATAAACAAGGGAAAGTGAAACAAAAATAACACAACTATGCCTCATTTAATACCTTCAATATTTTAAAAATAAAAACAGCTCTTACTAAATACAAACTAAACACGGTTCAAATAAACTTTTTTAACATGGCAAACCTCTAGAGGGCAGCATTTACCTATGTATCACAATACTGCTGAGCGAATTCTGCAGCCATCACAACTAGTTTTGTATATTTAATTTATTAAACCTTTATTCTATGAAAGAAAATACTTTTTTGTTGTTGTAGTTTTTTTAGGGGGCGGGGGTGATTTAGCATCTTTACCTCAGATCAAAAGCTGCGTAAGAACCTTGGTCAAACTTGTACCATATTCTAAATAAATAAATAAATACTTGTGTATGATAAATAGTGGGAAAGAAGAAGATCGTCCAAAGTTAGTTTGCAATAACCACCACTGGACATACATATTTATTTCAATCGACAAGAAATTATAATCTCCACCTGACACCATCATTTGTTTGAGGAAAAGCAGAGGCCTCGTCTTCTGCGGCATTCAACAGGTGCTTCTGCAGCTCATGTCAGCAACAGCGGTGGCCACGGGGTGGCGTTCTGAGTCTCACGAGTTGCTATTCTGGAAAACAGCAGCTCACAACACAATAGGAGCAGTGCTCGTCTTTGCAAAGATGATTTCATAATTAACATAAGGGAACATGTCAGATATATATAGTTCTTAAAACCCTTGAGCACGTTCCATCCTGCAGCCTCTTCGCGGATATGTTCTGATCCCAACGATTTTGCAAGGCCTTCAATGCAGGCATCATGCAAAATGCAGCACTGTTGATGTAACAATGCTCAGCTATAGAGATAGTAAAAGAGACGTTGTGTTGAAGCCTGGAAGCTGCAGTCTTACACAGATGTAGGAGTTTATCCAAACGACAGCTTTATCAGATGATGTATAGGCATCCTGTCCTTATGTAGTATCACAATATTATTATGACTGTCATTACATGACCAAACCCTAACATATATATGGCTTTCATTGAATCATATGTGCAGCAATACGTGCTGAGTCCAGTAAGAAGGAGAATGTCACCACATCCCACCACAGAGGAAGGATTACACACTTTTTATTTGTTTGGCTGCAAAAGTAAGCACGTTCAAACCATCGTTTATTTATGAGTACATATCTAATGTTGCAGCTGATATGAAAAGCCTCACCCTCGAAACAACCGCGACGTGTTTTTACCAAGCGCTCGCATTCAGCAGAGCTGTTTACTGAAGGCGAGAGCTGGGCCACACTCCTCTGCCCGTCCGCCTTGTTCCAGAAGGCAGGAGGAGGGAGGGCAGCGGCGCCCCGCGCATGCGCACAGGCTTGTTTTTCACCCAGCCTGTCGCTTAAAGTGAGCTGAGCTTCGGGGGTTTCCTTGTCTGTGGCTGGAGACCGTCAAGCAGGACAGGCCGATGATAACAGCATCCGCTGCTGTTAGTCAGCCCTCACTTAGCTCAATGAACTGCTCAAAAAGAAGCCACTGATCGTGCCTGCCGCTTTTTGCAGGGCAGAGATACTGATCAGTGTCTGCAATCCGCATCCCCTTCCTTCGCCCTCTTCTTTTTTTTTTATCTCTATGAGATTGTTTTTCTCATAGACGGTTGCTTCAGAGTCTGTTCTCCGCCATGGTGCTGGGAAAGGTGAAGAGCTTCGCGGTGAGCTACGACTGCTTCAACGACAGCAACGTGCCCGTGTTCTCCAGCGGGGACTGCGTCTCAGGGAGGGTGACCGTCGAAGTCACCGGGGAAATCCGCGTCAAGGCTCTCAAAATCCACGCCAAGGGCTTCGCAAAAGTTCGCTGGACCGAGTCGCGAAACGCCGGCTCCAACACTGCCTACACCCAGAACTACACGGAGGAAGTGGAGTACCTAAATCACAAAGACATCTTGATTGGGCACGAGAGAGGTAAGTTGCTTTTTTTTTTTTTTTTCCTCAAAGTTTGGTGGAAGCAGTGATGCTTCATGGCAAATTACTACAAGATGAACTTAATAACTATGAGGCCTCTGTCGTCTACAAACAGACATTCTTGAGTCTTTCACTTTGTGACAATCTCCCCTTCCTTCCTTGCTTGTTTGTAGTCAAGGTGTCAGAATGAATGACAGCATCTTCATAGCGTCTGCTTTCGTTTTTAACCTACTTCTTGCGTAAAACGTAAATAAATGAAATGTCCCGCCACGATAGAACACATTGGACACTTAAAATGACCAATGTTAAGTTTGTGTTGAGAATTTTAATCGGGGAAACAACCTCGAAGTTTCCCCTATTGTTCAAAGCGGTTCAATCCTGTTCAGAAAACTGGATTGAGTGGGCGGAGCCACCGCTCACCCCCCCCCCTTCCCCCTCCTGTGCTCGCCTGTGATTGGCGGAGATGCTCTTACGCGTCGACAATGACATCATGGTTTTGCAGAGTGATAGACCACTCAGCAACTTTTTTCAATAAGGGAGACACCTGCAGAAGATCACTGCGGAAGCTTTTGCAAATAAGTCTTTTAGCATTTTATGTGCGCAATGTTGCCCGCATTCAATGAAACTGTGGTGTTGTTTTCATCTCAGCAGCTAATGTAAATGTAAACAGTACTCCGGAGCGGCTTTAGACAAGAAAATGAATGGAATTAAGCTAAATAATAATATTAATAACAATTAACTAGACGCATTGTGACGGCATTGTGACGTCGACAATAAAGTGTTTAATTGTTATAAATAGGTAATAGTTGCGGGTTGTGTCCTGCAGCGCCGCGCAGTGAACGAGTCCTGCGCTGCCGCTGAGAGAGAAGCTGCTCGCACCGGTTTAGGCCGGTCTCCTCCTGTTGGAGGCTACCGTGTGTTTGAGTGACAGATCCGCACTTGTTTACCACTCTGCTGCTGCTGCTAGGGGGAGGGTGTGCTGAGCTGGCAGAGACAGCTTAGCACAACTATCCTCTCACTGAAAATTGCATTAAGTTTCTGTTTTTTTTTTTTTTTTTGACAAGCTTAGAGAAGCCCCCTTTCAGCTTTTTTTATGGAGTGAAATCAGAAACTGTGTGACAATGATGCGTTGCTTTGCCTACAAGCAAGTATGGAAAACAATATTGTGGCTTCAGTACTTTGTGCTGAAGTTGAAATTTCTATAGATGGTTTTTACTTTGATTGGCACTCCAATCACATCCTTTATATAATTCCAATCACATCCTTTATATAATTGATTATCAAACTGTCTTAAATGTTAATGTCCCATTGATTACGTATTTTAATTATTTTTCTAAAATGTACACTTAAAGTAATAATGCAGGATAATGTAAGTGTTTCTACAGAATGATTTCCCTAAATATGTGCATTTTTAAAAAGCTTACCGTAACTATTTCTTTTTTAATCTTTAAAAGATTTGTAATCTTTTTGTGTCATGACCTCACCAAATCTCAAAGGCCTCAGGTGGCCTTTGAGAAGCAGCTTTTGAGAGATTTCGGCATTGTTTTGGAAGTATTCAAGTTGGATTTAAGTTTCTATTGAAAGAATCGATCTCATACTTTTCTAGGTCAGACTTTAATTCTGGCACTCCCAAATTGAAAGTTACCAGTCACGCAGCTTCAAGACTTACAAATCATGAATCAAACCACTACAAAAATAGTTAAAACTTAGATGTTTAATATTCAAACGTTCAGAATGTATAAAAATTATAAAGCAATCGAGAAAACTGAGCTGGCAAAAGTATGGCTCTTTCAGATAAAAAAAAAATATTTAGAAGCCATGTAAATTATCTGGGGTATTTTGTTTTTTATTCATACAAAACTCTATTATACATAATCAACACTCTTCCTAATCATTCAACTTTTTAATCTCGCTTTTCTAACATTTCTCTGCTGTTTGTCTCTCAATACAATAATTTTTTTCCAGACAGATTTAATTGTAAAACACGTTTATTCTCTTTTTGTCTCCCCCACCCTGTTTTTTTTGTTTTGTTTTGTTTTTTTTTTGTTTTGTTTTCTTTCTTGATATGAATTTTCAGATGCCTTCGTAGAGCATTTTGTCCAGGTATGGTATACATGTGTTTGGAATATTGTCCTCCTTGTTTTTCAGACGACGACAACTCAGAGGAAGGACTCACCACCATCCATGCAGGACGGCATGAGTACGCATTCAGCCTCGAGCTTCCACAGACGTAAGTGGTCTGGTACAACGTGGAACCAACGGACCATGTGTTCACTTTCACCGTACTTGAACGAATGTTTGATTTTTGGCCTTTGTCTCAACCATTTCTCTCCGCTCTGCGTCTCTCCTGCAGACCTCTGGCTACCTCTTTCGAAGGAAAGCATGGCAGTGTGCGCTACTGGGTAAAGGCAGAGCTGCACAGGCCATGGCTGCTGCCATTGAAGACCAAGAAGGAATTTACAGTCTTTGAGCACATCGACATCAACACTCCATTATTGCTGGTATGCTCTTCTGAAATGACCCATAGTGTTTTGTCTTTTGACAAGCTGAATGGATTTTTAAAGGATTTTCTGTTCTTTATTGTTCAGTCACCACAGGCTGGCACTGCAGACAAGACACTTTGCTGTTGGTTCTGCACCTCAGGTCCTATTTCCCTAAGTGCCAAAATTGAAAGGAAGGGATACACCCCAGGTGAGAATAAGATGGTAGCAGAACCGCAGTTTTTGTTCTCACATCATGCATGCATACAAATCCGTTTGCTGCTTTTGTGATTGGAAAGACACCAGTTAACGTTTTTTTTTTTTTTTTTTTTTTTTTTTTTTAAATCGCACAGGAGAGTCGATTCAAATCTTCGCCGAGATCGAGAATTGCTCGTCCCGCATGGTGGTGCCAAAGGCGGCCATCTACCAGACCCAGACCTTCTATGCCAAAGGGAAGATGAAGGAGGTTAAGCAACTGGTCGCCAACCTGCGGGGAGAGTCTCT